AAATATCCTACTACCATAAATTCCTAAATCTACTAGATCTCCTACTATTTTGACTTTCTATCCAATTCCTTGCCTTGCACTCCAAGTACTTCTAGAATCTTTGAAGCTTGCGCCCCAACCCTTCGGCCGCCTCACTTTTCGCGCGCTATGCGCGCGCCGCCCGCGTCCTTCGCCTATGCCTACCGCGCATAGGCATGTCGCCCATCCGTGTGCCATGTCTCGCGCGTCACTGCGATGCTCGCCTAGTCCTTTGGTGACTAGGTCTCTCGTGCCTGCTGCGCCACTCCTATTCCTTGTAGGATTATGCCTCGGGCCCATATCCACTATTCCTATTCCTACTAGGAATAGGCTCTCGGTTACGTTTCCTGATCTTCCGAGGATTACTTCCGTCACCAATCTCCCACGCGCATTCCGGCACTTAACTGCTATTCCTATTCCTGCGAGGATTAGTATTCGCGCCTTGCCTATTCCTACGAGGATTAGGCATGTCGCCTTGTTCCTGCATTGTGCCTCGCGCGCGCGTCGCCGTGCGCGCCTAATCCTTCGCGACCTAGGAGACTTGCGCCTGCTTCCCACGCGTTGCCCTCCGCGCGCTCCTGGCCATCGCCGCCGTGCCCATGCGCGTGCGTACCGTCGCCCGCTACGCCTATACCCCCTAGGATTGGGTCTCTCGCGCTTGTCGCGTACTCGCGCGCTGCCGCGCGCCTATCGCTGCTGCTCCCCGCATCCCGCGCGTCCTCGCCACCCCCGCGAGTATCGCGCACGTCTCTCGTCCCCGTGTTGCTCGTGTTGTCGTCCCGCGCCATGCGCGTCGTGCCCAGCGCCCCAGCGTCCCGATCTTCTACCTCGCGCCCCCGTGCACCCTCTGCACCGCGCGTCCCAGCCATTCCCGTGGCCCGATCGCACCCGCGTACGCCCGCTCCTTCACTTGTTTCCCAGCCAACGCCTGCGCGCCCGACGCCTCGCGTTCGCCTGTCGCGTGCGTCGCGTCTTCGCCGCCTGACGCCCGCACGTCACTGCCAACCTCTATCGCCGATCCCTCCGATGCGCACCATCGTGTGTTGCTTGCGTCGACGTCGTTCACCCTTGCACCCATTCGACCCCTCGTATGTTCGCGCGCATCACGGCCCGATGCGCGCCCCACGCCCGATAGCCGATCTTCCTCGACCCTTCTGCCGTCCGGCCCCGTTGGCCATGGATCCCATCCATCTAACCCAATACAATCACCAGTTCTCCAAATCCAACCATCCTTCATACTACTCTTACCACCCCTTCGAGCCACCATCTTGCGAACTCGCCTTTTCCTCGAACAAGGCTTACACCAACACTTCTCTAACCATAAAACGAGATCATTGCCATCATCATTGTCGGATTCACCGGGGTTGAT